TCTCCAAGCTTGATCGTGGATCGAGCTATAGGGGGCCATGCAAAAAAAAACTGGCCTTGATTCGACATGTGGGGAGGCCGGGAGATCCATACATAACATATATATATATATATATACATGCATACATGCAATTTTTTCTCACGTCATGCATGATTTTCACGTCACGATTATAATCTCACGCCACGATCGACCATGCATTGCCTGGACCTATGACAATTTTCCGGTGCCGGAACATCTCCATGAAAACAAAACTATGCCCGATTTTCTACACAGTCTGCACAATACCGGAAATGTATCAGGTCGTGCTCATATTTTCTTTTCGTGGAGGCATGTCCATGAGAACGAAACTATGCCCGATTTTCAACAACAGTGTCTGGATCAGTTGCAGTGCATCACGTCGTCACTATCGCTGTGTTGCCATTACGACCAACCTTCCTTAAATCCAAAAAACTTCCTTAAATAGGATCCACGAAAACCTTTTCTATTTACGGCTCCTTTTCTTTATTTAAAGCTTGCTGCCTTAAAATTTAAGGCTTTTAGTCGTTATTTACTAGCTATAGTCCTTAATTTAAAGCTTAATGCCTTAAGTTCAGCTTCTTTCCTAGGTGCCGGCCCGCGGTTTAAGGCATGTTATCTTGTTTAGGGTGCTTTGGGTTTACTGGGCCATGCGAAGAGTCACTTGGCCATGGCACTGGCCACACTTCCAGGACGGCCCCTGGCGCACAAGACTGTGCGAGGGGTGGACCGGAAAAGGGCACGAAACCGCAGCCGTTCGGCACGGGAATGAAATGAGGCGCTCAAAGGTTTCCGGCGTGTCAACCTGGTAGACGCAAAGGGAGCACTCGGAGCATTTAACACACATGTTGAAACTCTTCTCCTTAGAGGTGCGAGACCAAACGTGCCCTCCCGGGAGAGGGGGTTCGTCAAGAAGGGCCTGCAACCTCTGCCTCTTGTCAGGCGAGGGGGAAGAGGAGGGCTCAAGAGCGGAGAGGAGGCGGTTCTTCCGCGGCACGAAATCCTCCTTTTCGGCCTTGGCCAAAATTGCGACCGCGCGGTGACCGAGATACTCGCAAACGAGGGAGGTGACACGGTCTACCTCCTTCTGGGCGGCAAGACGGTGTGGGGTCTGAACCTCCTCCGCGCGGTCCCTGGCGAGCTTGTCCGCAAGAGAATTGAGCTCATGGCGCCACAGGGCTTCAGCGCCGAACTCAAAACAAAAGTCCGAGGGACTAAGGTGAGAGCGCACCCAGTGGGGTTCAGCTCGGTGCCTGTGTTCCCAAGCCTTGGCCCACACAAGCGAGGTGCGCTTCGTGAAGGGCCCCTGGAGGCTGCGCAGGGCGGGCTGGCAGTCGCAAGTGAGGTCAAAAGTGCCTCTGGAAGAGAGGAGGACCTGAGCGATGGCCTCGCTCTCGCCCTCCGGCACAGAAGCAGGGGCAGGCAAAAGCCCGGACAGGGTGCCCAGCACGACAAGGTCGCCATCATTCCTGCTGGCAACAACCGCGGCCCAGCCGACCGAGCGGAGACGGCTATCCTTGGAGGCAGGGCCTCCGGAAGCGTCGGTGGCAACGCAGAGCCCGGTTAAGTCAGGGGTGCCTTCGAGAAAGAGGCCAGTACGGCGTACCTCAGCCTCGCGGGCGAGGGGCTCGCGGGGGGAAAGGGGGCGCATACCGCGCAACCAAAGGCAGTCGGCAGGGTGACGCCGCTTGTAGGACAGCAGCCAGCCCGCGGGCATGAGGGCGCCGGGGATGTTTTCGCACTCGTAAAGGAGGTGGTGCAGGGTGTTGGGGCCGCCACAGAACTTGCACCGTTCCTTCCCTCCGTTGCCAGAATGGAGGAGGGCGCCTTGAAAGACGGCCCTAAGGCCATGCCGCCAGGGCTTCGTCCGAGGACTGGCTAAGAGGCGGCGGGGCACGGTCCAATCGATGCCTAAGGCGGCACCAGCGGCAGTGGAGACGGTGCCGATACGGGACCAGCGCTCGAGCTGAAGAAAGCAGAGGCCTCAAAAACCGCTCCCGGATCGCGGAAGCGGAAGTGAAAGGTAGCTTCGCGGTGTGTCCAGACCTCAGGGGTAGGGGCAGACACCCGCAAGTCCAGTAAGTACTGGATGAGCGCGGAAACGGGACCGTTCACGATTTTCCACCCATGGGTGGCAGAGGCCTGTCTGGACCAGGAGGAGGCCCAGTAAGTACTGGATGAGCGCGGTTCACGATTTTCCACCCATGGGTGGCAGAGGCCTGTCTGGACCAGGAGGAGGCCCAAGTGCGGGTGAGTAACCGCACGCCTTCGGGTGAGGCGCTGGAGGCAAGGCGCCCAAGGGCCTGGAGCTGCTCCACAACCACAAGCTGGTGTGGGTCAACGGCCTTGTGGGACATGAGGTCGAGAATGACGTCGGCGGAGCCGTGCTCGAAACGACCAGCCTCGCGCGCAACCGCCGAGCGTAAGACCTTAAGGCGCTTAGGGGCAACCCCAACGGCCTGGTGGCCATAAAGGCCAGCCTTAAGGGCGGAGGCTTGGAGCAGCCGGCCGCGCACCCACCTGCGGCGTATGCGGAGGCGGCGCATGTGGCGGACTCGGCCGATGCCGGTGCGAAAGCGCTTTTGGGCGGTGGTGATGCGCCGCCGTCGGCCAGCAGCGCAGTCAAGACCGAGGTCCTTAACAAGGTCAGCGGTGTCGGGTTCGCCCGGGCGCCGCAGCTGCAGAAGCGCGGCGCGAGCGCGGGCCGTACCGGCGACGAACTTGGTCTTTGTGGTCTCAACCTCAAGGCCCTCAAGGCCGAGGGAGGTATGAAGTACCCGGTAGGCCTGAAGCGCAGAGGAAGCGACCTCGACAGGGTCGGAACCAACCACGTCTAAACTCACGTCGTCCAACCATAAGTCTGTGTGGGTGACGAAGGGAAGGGAAGAAACCTTCTGGAGAGGCTCGGACATGGTGAGTTTGGAAAGCGAGGGAGCGAGAGGGCAACCCTGGGGCACGCCCCGGCCAGGAAAGAGCGGCGTGGCAGCGATCGAGTCGGCCACAAGGCAGCGAGGACCCTGGTAGACCTGGAGGGCGAACCAGAGGTGAAGAGGAGGGAAACTGTGAGCGAGCCCTTGGAGGAGGAGGCGCTCATAGCTCACAGAATCGAAGAAGCCTCGCAAATCGAGGAAGAGCGACACTATGTGCGTCTTCTCAAGCTTTGAATGCTCTGATCTGACAAGGCGGGCCAGTGCCGTGTCCAGGCTTGCCTGACCTGGAACCGCCCGGTCCCACGGGTGGGCGGGGGCGTAAGCCGATGTCCAAGCCGAGATGTCCTGCCACCTAGCCCGTGCCCACAATCTCCACAGACACGGTAGAAGACTTATGGGGCGTTCCTTGTCGGCCGACTTCGGGAGAAGAGCGACCTGAACGCAGGTGAGCTGGAAAGGCAGAAGCACCTCAGCCTCCGCACGGGCGAGGAAGTCGGCAACGAGCTGAAGAGCTGCCGGGTCCAGTGCCCGAAGGGCTGGGTAGCTCCAGCCGTCCGGGCCCCCTTTCTTTTTCCCGGCTTTCTTGAGAAGTTTCTGAAGGTGGGGAACAGTCAAGGGAGCCAGGGTGCCAGAATGGGAGACGGCCCTCGAGCGGAGCTCCGCGAGGAGAGGGTGAGCAAAGTGCTGGGGAAAAACCGAAGCTTGCCAGACGCGGGCCCAATGCTCATGCCGTTCAAAGACACGGCGGAGTCCATCGCAGTCTTGAAAGGGCCGATCAAGCACCTGCTCATGGGACTTGATGGCTCGAAAGAGCGGCCCCAGGTGCGAACTCGAAGCTTCCTCCAGCCACTCACCGTACTGGTCAGCTTGCTGGGCAGTTTGCTCGCGGCGGAGTTGACCAAGGAGGGCAGTGCCTTCGGCGCGGAGGGTGGCGGAAGAAGCAGAGCCGTCGCTCACCCGGTCACAAAAGGCGCGGACCTCGGAGGGGAGGGAAGTGTCCGAAAAGGACCACAAGAGGGACTGCACAGCGTCGGGTCGGTCAAGAAGGTGAAGCAAGGCTGACACCAAGGAGGGAAGCTGGCCTTTCCAGGCAAAGGTAACAGAGTGGCCCTGGACAAGGGGCTTGTGAAGAAAGGGAACAAAAGCCCCACGCCCTCGGTCGGGGAACCCGTGAGAGACCTCGAGGAAAGAGCTCAACTCTGCGAAGTCGAGAGTGAGCTTGTCGGTGGATGTGAGGCCAAGAAGATTAACCTCAGCGATAGGCGAGGGGCTCGGGACCGAGGGTTGAAAGGGCAAGGGGTCAGGAAAGACCTCACAAAAGGTAGCGAGTTGCGGGTAGGGAAGCTGCAGAGAGCTGAGCTGTAGAGTGGCCCGCAGAGCGCAGTGAGGCTTAAAGGGGACGACCCAGTCCTGAGCGACTTGCAGGAAAGCGACAGCCGGAGACGAGACCAGAAGGTAGTCAAGTTCCCGGTCGGTTGCTGCGGTGGGTGAACCGGTACCCAGGAAACGCCCATGGGAAACTTCCTCAAGCCTAGTGGCGAGGAGAGCTTGTATGGGGTTGTTCCAGTCACCAGCAACGATCCACACACCCCGGAGGGAAGGAAGAAAGGCTAAGAGGCGAGCAAGGACATCGGCGTTGACCGGGGAGTTAAAGCCAGTACCAGACTGGAGGTAGATGGAAACCAGGGTCAAATCGAACCCGGAACACCGAAGCGAGACCGCCAGGAAACCACAACCCTCCACGGTGTGGGTAAGGACATGGCGGGGATTAAGGAAGGAGCGGATGAGGACACCAAAACCTCCCAAGGGGCGCCTCTTATCACTCAGGAAAGGAGGCGAGGTAAAGAGACGAAACCCTCTTTTAGAGGCGGCAATCGTAGCCTCATGAGCAGCCTCAGAGGTGAGGTGAAGCTCCTGGAGCAGAACCCCATGGCCTTCAAGAGAGAAGGCCCAATCCCGAACCTCTGGCCTCCAGTGAGTAACATTGGCAGACAGGAGCCTAAAGGTAGCGGGGCTGTGGGGGGTATTATGTTGCAACGAGAGGACCTGAGCCATTTGCTTGAGGAGGTGCCACTTAGCGGGGGAGGGTGTGTCATCATGGATGGGCGTGTTCCAAAAACCACTCCTCAGAAGAACCCGGCGAAATAGCAGCCTCAACCTTAGAAGCGAACTCAACAAGGTCGCGCTCAACCGAGGAGGCAGGGTTCAGGGCCTGGTCGCACATCTCGACCTGGAGCTGGGTGAAAAGGCCCGGCATGTGAAGCCGGTGGTGGCGGTGGTTGGGCCGTCGGTCACGCCTGGCACCTCGACGGCTCGATGAGCCGGAGGGCTGGGCCAAATTAGGCTCCCAGGTGGAGGCAGGGCTGGGGTCCGAGGCGAAAGCCTGTGGGAAGTAAACCGGCCCTGTGAGAGGAGAGGGAGGCGCCACCAAGGACTCAAGAGACAGAATCCGGGGCTGCCGTCGAGAAGAACGTGGAACCTCGACCCACTCAGGGGAGGAGGAGGTAGGGCTGGCCGAGGGGGGAACGAACACCTGAGGGTGAAGGAAAACTCCCGAACCTGGGCCATCGAGATTGAAGTTAAAAACCGAGGAGGAGGCCGATGGCTCCTCAAAGAAAGAGGAGGGCCAGTACCCCTCACTCGGAAGGAGGTGGGCCACGCACAGTAGGCCCGACGAAGGAGTGAAAAAGGCCCTGCCCGAAACCTCAGGCTCCAAAACAGCTAAGCCGAGGGGAGGAGGTATGCGGGAGGGAACCTGAAGGACGGAAGGTGCGGGGTCAGAGGCGGGAAAGCTGGGGCCGAAGGGAAACGTAACTGGACCAGAAGACCCCCAAAAATCCGCCCCCGAACCCCTACCATCCTCCTACGAACCAGTCGCCTTGGCAGCGTCCGTGGCCGGGGGCACGCGGGAAGGGGAGCGGCTCCGGGTCTTGGTCGGGGTGGTGAGGCCGACCTGGCGAGCCCCAGGGTTCTCGGTAGGGCCGTCCTTGGCTTCGTCGGTAAGATCACCGTTGGCCTGCCCGTCACCTGCCGGAGGGGGAGGGGAGCCGAACTTAAAGGGGGTAGGTCCGAGGCCAGGGGGAGCATGCATGTCGGGAGGGGGCTTGATCGAGGCTCGAAGGGCATTGAGGTTGGCCTTTTGGTCCTCCGTGAGGGCCTCTGGAGAGAGCCCCAAGGCTTCGAGCACTAAGTCAACCTCACTCTTAGGGACGTGTAGTAGGACTCCGCGCTCATAAGTGTCAGAGCACTTCCTGGCCACATCGGTTGCCTCAGAGATGGCCTCCTGGAGTTCCTGCATGCCGCGGAGAAGGTCGTGGAGCTTGGTCTTGGTCTTGTTGATCTCCTCCTGGAGCCTGAGCTTCTCCTGTCCCAACTGCTTGAGCTTCAAAATGGAACGACGGAGAGCACTACCCGACTCGCGACCTTCCTTAAGAGGGTCGGGGGTTGGCTCAGGAGGGGGTGGAGGCAAGGCCTGGCGGATGCACTCCGGAAGCAGCTCCACGTTATCCTGGAGTAAGGCCAGGAGATCGGGCTCCATATCAGCATCAGGGGTCTGAGGCGCCTCAAACCCGGCATCACTGAGCTGGGTCCTGGCCTCATCCGGGAGATCGGCCCACACCTTCCGAAGGGACTTAAGGATGCGAGTGTTGCGCTTGAACCGGTCATCCTGGGCCTTCGTTGGGCGAGGAGTGGGCGTATCGTCTGAGAGGAGGTCGCCAACCTCAGCCGCATCGTCAAAGGTGACCTGTCTGCGGGGTCGGGAAGGGCGCCTGCGTGGGGTCCTTGTCGGGGACTGGGTCGGTGTGGAAGAACCACTACCAGGCTTGGGAGCCTTAGGGAACCGAGCCTGGCAGGCCGGGCAGGTGGGGTGCTTCCACAGCTCGTCGACCCAAACCCACGCCTTCTGACAGCGCTTGCAAACATGGTAGGCGCGTTGCGACATACCTCGACCCATAGGTGAGGGAACCTCAGCCTCGGGCGAGGAGCCAGGCAACCTTCAGCTGCGCGAAAAGCACAAGCCTCTAGCCAGTCTGGAAGCAACTGTGCAAGCTCCAGACGGCGAGGGAGTGCGCGCAGCGAGGGAAAGGTCTGCCGGGCTCAGGCGGAGCGCCTGGCACAGCACGTGCAGTACAGCCTACCGGGCCGCCCACCAAACCCTTGCCTGCTGTCAGGCCTACGACCTTTACCAGGTTGGGTTTGGGGCCTCTTTGGAACCTCTAGAAAAGTAGGCCCCAAGGCTGGCCACGACGGCACTGCAACGTCTGAGCCGAAAACTTGAGCCAGGAGCAAACTTTTCATTCCAGTGGCGCTTGTCCACGGCCAGAGGCCTGTCCGAAAAGCTGCACCGAATTAAGTGGTATGCACAACCTAGTCCTGCACAGACCCTGGGCGAAGTCAAAAAGACCTCAGCCCCAAGAAAGCACTCTGTCAGAGCCCTACTGTACTGGCAAGGAGAGTGACAAGACTCCTCAAGCCCTTTTTGGGAAAGACAAACCCTGACAGGTGCTCAAGCCGAACAGTGAGAGGTGAAAGCTGTACAACCTAACTGACACTACCCTCAGTCTGGCACTCAGCTTGCAGTGACCTCAGCCCTGAGGCGAGGTCACTCAGTGAAGCTAGGCGAGGCAACATGCCGTAAAGTGCCTAGCCTCAAGCCCTCACAGCCCAGGGGTTCCTCAACCTCACCTTGCACAGAGCAGCGCCCCTCAATTCGGTACCTTTAGCGCGGGGCCCACGCACTCCCCTCAACAAGGCGCAGGGAGCGACGCTTTCCCTTCAACTCAACTTCGTGCTGGCGCAGGGAACAACGCCCTGCTATGCTCTCTGCGAGTGGAGACTTTGAAGCCCGAAGACTGCTCCCAGTAAACCTGCTGACTGCTCACTAGGGAAAGGGCAAAACTTTGAGGCCCGCACAGCAGGGGACCTTCCCTACCTGAGGGAAAGGAACCAGGCTGTTCCCTGGGAAGCCTCTGACTGCTTCAAGGGAAGGGGCCAAACTGGCAATCTGGACTGCAGATCACAGACTACACAAATGCAAAAACCAAAGCCTATCACCCTTACATCCTCAGCCCAAAGGCGAGGAGTGCAAGAGCGACTGCGGAAAGGCACCTCGCTGCCTCAACTCGCCCAGTGAGGAGGTACGAGACACGATCCCTGTCAGCTGCCAGGTGAAACCCATGGCGTGCCTATAAGAACACCCAGAAAACTAATTACTGGGCGAAGGCGGGCAAACCAAGGCAAGGGGAGGGAGCCTACTCAGCCTGTGCTGCCATCCACTGTCAGCAAGCAGACAGCAGGGCGGAGAAACTATCCCTAAAACCAGCCCTAAACCCAAGGCCAGCAGAAGAGCAGTCACAGAGTCAGGGAAGACTGCTCACTGCTGCTAGCGCGCGAGCCTGCTGGGAGGCCACATACATCCCAACAGAGGGCCCAAACCTACCTCAGCCTGCAGGCGAGGCAAACAACTAAGGGCATCCTAAACCCCTAAAGGCGAAAGTCCTCTGCACACGGGCAGCTGGCCGAGAACTAACTAGGCTATGCAGGATCACACGCCGGCGCGTGTCCTCACCAAGTGCAGTCAGCAAGCAGGAAGCTGCACACCTAGTGCCTAAAACAACTCACCACCAGCCAAAAGTAGGCGAAACCACGCCGGGAGCGAGCAGGAAGCCACACAGAGTCCTTGCGCCCAGCAGGGACAGCTGCCTACAACAGACGGGGACGTGCTGCAGGGCATAATAAGAGCATGCCTCAAAAGAATCGAGGCGCGGGTTTAGGATGCAGCAAAACCCCTCATGGCACCTGCAAAGGCATGAAAGGGAACAAGGGCTAGCACAACCCTACAAAGAACCCCAGGCAATTGCAGTTGCTGATGCTCAGCAAAAGCCCACGAGTGGTCCAGACTGAACCTTCTGCATGACACCACACATGGGAAGGCCAGCCTGTCATGAGTGCGCGTGCCACGTCCAGGCCGGGAAAGCAACCCACTGACCAGCGAGGCATAAAACAAAGCCGCTTCGAGCACACAGTCCTCAGCCCTAAGGCGAGGACTAGGGCCTGCTAACTGGAAAAGAAGCGGCAAAACGGGCATCGTCCAAAGGGCAAAGAGGAACAGGTTTCCTACAAAGGTGCTTGAAAGACCGGCAGCCACAGTGAAGACCAACGCCCCTAGAGGCAAGTACTGCTCAGCCTGTTCGCCTACAGGAGAACTCCCTTCCGCGAGGAGGGCCGGCCAAAACTTGTCGCAAGAAATTGCAATGCAAAATTCAAGCAAAACCGACCAAACCATGCAAAATCAAGAAAATCACATGGAAGTGTCACACCATGGCAACTACTGCTCTTCGGCTTGAGCCGGAACTGCACCTACCCCGCCCCTGCTGCACAGGCAGCCTACGAGGAAACAAGCGGTGGAGCAAACTTTTCACGGTCTTGCGCACTGAGTCGCGGCCGCCGGAGCGGCAGTTCGGTCTGGGCTGTACTCTGACAGCAGAAAAGAGGAGGGCAGCCTTGTTTAAGGCGTCCTCCGCTAGGCCTACTCCTACCCCCCGTTCCTCCCAATCTCCGTTGGGAGGTTACCGGAGGATCTACTTCGGACCTAGTCTAGCCCTCCTCCCAGGCTTTTGCTGGTGAGGTTGAAGCAGCCTCAGGATTTGGCCCTGTGCCTCCCGGTACCGGTGAGGAAAGGAAGCCGGCCATGGCCTCAGCTGTTCACCTCCTTGTGCCCCCTGCCTAGGCGGGCTCTGCCGGCTTTTGACCACCTCCCTCACCCCCCAGGACTTCGGGTCTTTGAGGCTGAGGAGTTCCTATTCCTGGGACTTTGCTAGAGACCTGAGGGCTTCAGCTTGCCTCAAGTGGCTCCAAGTTCCCAGGTGGGCGGCCATTGCCACAGGGTCCCTGTTGTAGAACCCGCACAAGAAGCAGTGGTAGTTATACGCATGCCCAATCTCCCGCCGTGGTGGCGGTGGGCTTGTGGCCTAGCCGGGGGCGTGCGGCTCCGCCCTGTGCCACTTTCACTCCCTTGGTTAGGCGAGGACTGGGCTGGCAGATGTGGCTCCCTG